AACTCTGGGAAAAAGAGCAGTCCCCAGAGGGACAAGAATAGTGGAATAGGGGACTTGAAGATTTGTTCTGAAGCCCAAAGACTAACCAAACAACTGATTGAACATTTCATTTATAACTCTTCACATTCCTGTGTTTTTCTTGTATTTATTTATTTTTATTTTTTATTTTTTTTTGCTAGTTGAAATGAAAGCACACATATTCCTCTAGTGAGAAAGGTTTAATTTGTGTCCTGAACAATTCAAATGTGATCATGTGAAGGACTTCAGACTTTAAATTGGTTAACAATTAGAAAATTCGTGTAAAATGCACTTAGTAAAGATTGATGTGCTCTTCCTCTTCCTTTTCATAGTCATTATCATAGGAAACTTTATGTTTATGTTGCTTTATCTAATTATATTGTTTGATACAAGTAAATTAGAGCTCTTCACTAGATTAAAGTGCATTTGTTACCTTCCTATTCTAAGTAGCTGTTAGCCTTGGGTAAACACAAATCCTGTCATACAGATAACACCTATCTCTAAGGGATCTTGCAGTTTTTGTGCTAAGCAATTAACCCATGTGCATGTGGTTGTTTACTTAATATATTTATAATGTTCTTTGTGTACAGGGAGATATAAGGCACAACAAGTAAGGGGAATGTGCTCATTAAAGTATAGCTATTCAAAATGGATATTAGGTTTTAGTTTGAAGTAAGATGTAATTGAGTTGGGCTTGTTGTGGGTAATAAAAACATTAACTCTGAATGAAAAAAAGTGGGGTTACCTTGCTTATTTTGAGAGACCATCTTCATCTATTTTCCATTAATTATTCTAGTGTTAAATGTTTAAAAAAACCTAGATTTGGAAACTTATATTAAATTACACCCTTCTGTTTCCCCCAGAAGTTAATGGTTTGCTGCAGTAAGAGTAGTGGTGAAGAGTGTCTCTCTACCCCTTTCTCTAATAACGCTTTTTTTTCTGCAGGCTGTACAGAGATTGTCACACTGGGCAGAGTCCTTTGTGAAGCAGACACCAAAAATGCAAGAGAATAAATTGGGAAAATGTGTAAAAGATAAGGCACAGGAGAGCAGGAATAGGCAGGCTGTCAACTGACTGACTTCTTTTTTTTTTTTTTTGAGACGGAGTCTCGCACTGTCGCCCAGGCTGGAGTGCAGTGGCGCGATCTCGGCTCACTGCAAGCTCCGCCTCCCGGGTTCACGCCATTCTCCTGTCTCAGCCTCCTGAGTAGCTGGGACTACAGGCGCCCACCACCGCGCCCGGCTAATTTTTTGTATTTTTAGTAGAGACGGGGTTTCACCGTGGTCTCGATCTCCTGACCTTGTGATCCGCCCGCCTCGGCCTCCCAAAGTGCTGGGATTACAGGCGTGAGCCACCGCGCCCGGCCAACTGACTGACTTCTTAGTGAAGATTTTGTCTTGAAAGGAGATCTGAATGGCATCTGACCATGGTTTCCATAAGCACCATTATTTAATTTTAAAAATGTAATTAATTATTAAAATTATATGGATACAGATACGGAGTCAGTTCCTGAGGAAAGCTTTGGAGAGAGAAAACAGGAAGGGGATGGGATTAGACATACAGAAAAGAAATACCTGGCCTAAATTATCTGCCAATTATCCGAGAACATTTTATCCAAAAGACTTAATAGCTGCGCGGTCAGAATGAGTCATTTTTCCACATCGTCTTTGCTAGAGAAACTTAACTGTTCATATGTACATTTTTGCAGGTACGTTTTATATGGATTCTATTAACATCCTAATTAAACCTCTTGGGGCAAGTATTTGAATGCCACTGTGACTATACATAGCAATGAAGCTTAGAAAAAAAATAAAATTCCCTACTTGACTAAAAGAATAAGCAAAGAAGAATTAATGTTCCTGAACTTGCTTTGTTAGAAGGAAAGAATAAGGGAAGTCCTAGTGATTTATTTTAAATGATTGTTATTGATTACTTTTCCAACATGAGTGAACCAAGCAGGCGGTTCAGAAGTAAAAAATTACAGCTTATTAGGATCACTTTCCTCAGTTGTGAGTAATAGATAGATAGTAAAACTGAATAAAAGGGAGGATAGTTTACAAATTGGTGACTGAAAATGAGGACTGAACCCTTTTAACATCATTTTTTTCTAAACCAAGTGACATAATAATGGAGACTAATCAGAAGATTTCACCCAAGTTCCAATCTTCTTGAGTCCAATTTGCTCCCTTGAGCTCTGGTGAGTTTAAACTATATATTCCCCAGAGAAAATATGAAAACCCTTTCCTACCTCCCATTTTGTCATGAATCTCACCAATGTTAACCTATGCCTGCTTGGGAGAAAACCATTGCTGGATGTAAGAGCCTTTACAACAACTTGGCAGAACTGTCTTTTGGAGCATTTGAACATGGGATATTATATGTACAGCAGGCTCTTGCCTTCCTGACTATGTGAGTCTCTTAGGACTGCCATAACAAATGCCACAGACTCAGGGGCTTAAACAACAGAAACTTATCTTCTCACTATTTTGGAGGCCAGAAGTCCAAGATCAAGGAGTAGACAGGGCTAGTTTCTTCTGAGGAACTCTCACCTTGTCTTGTAGCTGGCCATCTTCTTCTGCTGTCTTCATATGGTCTATTGCTGTCTTCATATGGTCTTCATTCTGTTCATGTCTGTGTCATAATCTCCTTTTCTTATAAGGGCATCAATCATAGTGGATTAGGGCCCACCCCAATGACCTCATTCTAACTTAACTACTTCTTTAAAGATGTTATCCCTAAATGCAGTCACATTCTGAACCTGCTGGAGGTTAGGGCTTCAACATAGGAGTTTTTGGGCTACAAAATTCAGCCCATAACACTGATTTATATCTGAGAACAGAGGTGTTAGGTAGACCTATATTCTTCTTTCATAGATCTGACAGCTTTGAGCCAGCTATGCCCAATCCGGTTTTGCAGAGAAGTACTGTCTCAGCAGCACTGGCTTTACATCCTTCTCGTCCCAATATTCTCACTCCCCATACACACTTGGACTAACAAGGTGACATGGAAAGAGAAGAGGTTCCGCTTTGCCAGGAGAACAGACTTTGTTAGGGTGTGGAAGGGGACACTTTATTTTTCCATATCTAAGAAAGGAAAATCTGAAAATAATAACTCATTAGAGTTAGATGTGCCTACAAGAACAGGAAATTGACAGTTCTTCCCTAGCTGGACATCTGCATTAATACCAGAATTTCTGTGCTAGTGGAGTAGGGGACGAGAACACTGGGGACAGATGGCATGGTGGCTTCTGCCAGGCCAAGCTGAGTCTCACACCACCTTCAACTTGAACATTATTGGGTTTCCAGTTTCTAATATGTAAGATAGAGTCTGAACATACTTGTGGGCCTCAAGTTGATAGTGGATGTCTGATGAGACTGTTGGCTGCAGTCTGTATTTGAGAAGAATGCAGGGTAAGGTTGCAGTGGGAGTTGGGCAGATGTGGCTGAATCTCACATGGAAGCACCAATACTGGGGAGACTAGCTAAGAATGAGCCTTGACTAGTTGACAATACCCCATCCATCCTTGTCAAACCATGTACCAGCCAGGTTGACAGTGAGACCATCCAGACAGGGAACTACCTCCTCATTCAGGGAGGCCTCCGAGAACTTGCTTTACTTCATCTCTTTCATTTTTGCCAACATGTGGGCAATATATGTGAGGGAGAAGCTTATGAGAGCCAGACCAAATCCCCTTTCATTCTATTTTCTGAGGGTGGGGCACAAGGAGAGAAGAGTTATGAAATGTTTATGAGATTCTGAGTTTTAAGAACTCTAAGTGACTGTTTTAATAAATGAATGAAAGTTAAGATTATAGCTATGATTCTATTACTGAAGCTCACCCAGCAAGTGTGAAAGGTGAGATTCAACAGAGCACTTTGGGACACTTACTGACAAATAATAACATAGTTTTATTTTTATACCCTAACACATTATGATTTCTCAATAAACCAGCCACTTCTTGCACATAAAGAGCTAATAATATCTCATTTCCTGCTGCATGAGAATTTGACCTTTGGTAACTCCTTAGTATTGTTTTCCTGGTAACTTGATAAAGACATGTACCAACTGCATTATGAAGCAACAGAGAATATCATTAAAAACTGACCCATAGTGGCCATGCTTGGTAGCTCATGCCTGTAATCCCAGCACTTCGGGAGGCTGAAGTGGGCAGATCACGAGGTCAGGAGATCAAGACCATCCTGGCTAACATGGTGAAACCCTGTCTCTATTAAAAATACATAAAATTAGCCAGGTGTGGCAGCAGGCGGCTGTAGTCCCAGCTACTCAGGAGGCTGGGGCAGGAGAATGGCATGAACCCGGGAGGCGGAGCTTGCAGTGAGCAGAGATCATGCCACTGCACTCCAGCCTGGGCGACAGAGCGAGACTCTGTCTGAAAAACAAACAAACAAGAAAACAAAACAAACAAACAAAAAACTGACCCATAATTGGCAAATTACTACTTTGAAATTATAAATTGGATCAGGTGCTGGCCAGGACCCTAGAACTCCTGAGAAAATATGGCTTTTGTCTTTAGCTACCAGGGTGGGTAGAGAAAGACCATGAAGTTGGGTCAGAGTTAGGTTTGTCTGAGTTCAGATACTTCTTGGGTAGGGCTTGCTGCAGCAGCTTTGAGGGATAGTGGTGTGGTTCCCAGGTCAATGGAGTTATGTTCCCAGGAGGATTATGGCTGCCTCTGCTGTGTAATGCAGGTTGCCAGGGAAGTGGGGGAAAGCCAGCAGTTACAGGACTCACCTCACTCCCATGAAACTTAAAAGGCCAGTCTCACTCCCATATTGCATCCCCCAACCCCCACCTCAAAAGCACCAAGTTTGTTCCAGATAGTGGGCGAGCAGTGCCCCAGGCTACCAGCTTCCTGACTGAGAAAGCAAGCAGAGCTTTCATGCCTCCCCACGTGCCCACATCTGCACTTTGTATCCAACCCCTCCCCCAAGTCCTGTCTAAGAAACTGTGCAATTGTTTGGAATTGTTACAAAGTTCAGCTAGAGGCTTCCTTGTTCCTGTGGTCTTTTCCCAGTTCCCCTGGCAGCCCTCCCCAAGGACCCCTGTGAGACCAGAAATGGCTTCCCTGGGGACTGAGAAAGCCCACAGAGCTCTTCCTGCTGCTTCCTCTACTCCTGTATTTTGTTCGGCTCTCTGAATTATCTCAGCTCCAGGTAAGGTCAAGTCATTCCCGTAATCTGGACTTTCGGGTTTCCCAGTGAGGGTGTGTGTTCAAGGGGGAACGATCCCCCTTTCCCACTTCCACACTTTGGGCACTTGCAGTATTTGGGCTGTCTCTCTGGGTGCAGGAGCAATCTGTTTCCTTCAGAGGGTCTGTGGATTCTCTTGGCTTTCCTGGTGTGTTCCTGCAGTAGTTCTTGGAGCAAAAGTTCATGATGTGTCTCCACATGCTGCTCTGTCCATCCGAGTGGGAGCTGCAATTTAGTCCTGCCTCCTATCCACTATTTTCCCACTTTCTATCCCTTTAAAAACCTGGTTTCTTTCCTCATTTGAAACTCTCAATTTGTCTAAGAAAGCAGATGCTTCAGAGGCAGTCTGCCTCTGAGAGCAGTTTTGAGCCTGATTCTGATAATTCTCGTTTTAAAGACCAAGATAAGTTTAAATAATTATTCAAGATTATACAATTATAAAGTGGCATGACCAGTATTCAAGTGTGTTATCTGGGAGGATATATAAAGTCATATTCTAATGACATAGAAGATCATTAGAATGATTTTCCCTTTAGTGATTTATATACATAAACTTATTTATTAAACAAATACATAAAAATAACATGGTTTTCTAACACTCTGTTTTGAAAGTCCATCTCCCCTGCCTTCAACCCACGTCATCATTTTGAATCAAAAAGAAGATAAATGGCCACATAGTCTGTTTTTTCTTACACCACTCCAGAATAGTTTTATTGGTAAACCACAATTGGAAAAAAGAAGGAAATTAAATTTGAAAGCCCATGTTTGTGAGAATAAAAGATAAATTAACTGAATATCAACTCTATGTCTAGAACTCTCTAGAAAAGTCTAAGAATCTCAAAGGTAGACTAAGTCCATGAAATGAATATTTTTTCTTTAGGAAGGGAAAGGGAATGTGAAAGTTCATTTACTATAACCTCTCATTCAATAAGCTCAAAGTTCTTTCCAAAATACATTTAGTAACACTGCAGTTACAAACACAATTTCTAAAACGTTAGCATTTCATCCACTTTTTAAATGGACATTCAGAGCAAGTACAGCTTATTGGGACAGGATTGGCATTGAGTATCTTGAATGGTTGTTCTAATTAAGTAGGACGATTCAGGTGTGGTATGGCATGATTCCTTATCAAGGGGCTAAATAGTCACCAGAATTGCTGTTCTCCCTTGTTGAAATAATTCTAGTTTTAATTTCATATTACAAAAGTTTATGTTCAGTTGCTACTGTCTCATAAAAGTGTAGGAAATCTCAAAAATATATATGAGGTTATTCAATTAACTAAAAACAATTACTTATCTTTATAACTTTCCTGTACAATATCAATTACTATAATTGGAAGCAAAATTGGTTACAATTAAATAACAATTGGCAAGGAAAATTTATATGACTGAATGGATAATTATTTTTCAAAATGATTTAGTATAAAAGTTTGGTGAAGAATTTTTGTAAAGAGACATTAAAATGCACACACACACACACACACACACACACACACACCAGCCTTCAAGTCACACATTACATTTTTCTTTACTGAATTTTAGGGCTGAAGACATTAGAAAACCCCATCATATAATGTAAGAGTTCTACAGAGTATGTCCAAAGACACAATGAAGTCGCTTTTGTCCCATTTCTGATAACACCATAATGCTAAATTTCCTAGTATCTTGACTTTTTAATATATTTTAAACAGGGAAACAAAGTAAAAGAGAGACTAGTAGCCAAAATCCTTTTTAAGTCATGAATGGGTCGGCAATTATAAGATGTCTTTTACTATCTATATTGGTTTTCTATGCCTACCATAGCAACTGACATAATTTTAATGGTTTAAAACAACACAAATTTACTATCTCACACTTCTACAGGTAGGAAAATAGATGGTTTTGGCTGGAATTGTGCTTAGAGTCCCACAAAGCTAAAATCAGCATGTCAGCAGGGCTGTGTTTTTCTCCTGGAGGCTTTGAGAAGAATCCACCTCCAGGCTCATTTCGTTTAGTGACACAATTCAGTTCCCTGTGCTTGTAGGACTGAGTTCCAGGTTTCCTTGCTGACTGTTGGCTCGGGGTTGCTCTAAGCTTCTAGAACCTTCTGCATTCCCTGGTTCTAGGTCTTCTTCATCTTTAGAGTTAGCAATAATGGGTCAAGCCCCTCTCATGCTTCCAATCTATCTGACCTTCCCTTCAACTGCATCTTGCCAGTCTCTCCTCCCAGCTGAAGATATTCTCTGCTTTTAAAGGATCATGTGATTAGATAAAGCTCACATAGATAATCTGGGGTTATTATTTAAGGTCCCTGAACTTTACTGTATCTGCAAAGTATTTTTTGCCATGTGATATTGTTTGGATTGGGGTCCCCACCCCAAATTTCATGTTGAATTCTAATCCCCAGTGTTGGAGGTGGGGCCTGGTGGGAGGTGATTAGATCATGAGATGGTTTCTCATGAATGGTTTAACACCACCCTGCTGCTGTTCTCATGATAGTGAATGAGTTCTCATGAGATCTGGTTGTTTAAAAGTGTGTAGCACCTCCTTGCTCTCTCTCTTTTCCTTCTGCTCTGGCCATGTAAGACGTGTGTGCTTCCCCTTCACCTTCTGTCATGATTCCAAATTTCCTGACATCTCCCTGGAAGCAGAAGCTGCTATGCTTCCTGTACAACCTATGGAACCACGAGCCAATTAAATCTCTTTTCTTTATAAATTACCCAGTCTCAGATATTTATTTATAGCAGCTCGAGAATGGACTAATACACCATGCAAGGCAACATGTTCAAAAGTCCCAAATATTAGGATGAGGTCATCTTTGGAGGATCCATCTACTTACTGTGCTGTTAAGAGTTGGCCATTTTCCTGTCCTATTGGCTCTCACATCTGCCACATGCACCCTCTCACCTCCCACTACAAACTCTGGATTTGTCCCCTAGGCTTTGCTTACTTCTGTATGGGAAGCATATAATGATTCTGGTCAGAAATGGCCTCAGTTGCGAGGTTCCCATTCTTAGTGAATCCTCAAATCTACTCTTCTGCTATTTTTTACTGCCCCTTTAATTCTGACAAATGACCTCTCTGCTGCTATTAGTCTGGATATTGGAATATATGATTTTCTCTGTTCTCAGCCTGTCTGGGTTGAACAGCATGGCTTTCAAACTTGTCAATCCCAATCTGGGATCTCTAATTATCTCTTTCTGGAAGATCTCTGGTTCTGTCCTGAGTGACTCATCCTTTACTACAAGGCACTGTTGCTCCTTTTTTCATATTTCTTAAGAGCTACCGCTTGGTATGGAATGTTACAAAAATGTCTTATTTGTGTTCCAGCCTTATTCACTAGATATATGACACACTTATTAGCTAAGTTAGTATTCATGTGTTATGTGATAAAGCACAACACAAACACAAAATCATGTTTTCAACAATCTATATACCTAGGTTAAGAGAAAAAATATATATAGCATGAATTAACTATTTTCTAGATATTTCTGATAAATTATTCAATGATAATATAGTTATACTGATGATATTAATATGTTTGAAATGACTGGCCTAAAAACATTCATCTTGGTGACTTGGACCAGTTTAGTTAATGAACTTTATTAATATTGTAATGATCTAAGAAGCTATTCAATACTGGGTTATTATGCAACCAGTAAGAGTGGGAGAGAACAAAATGTGGGTATTTGGTGGAATTGAGCAGCTCCTATCAAATCTCTTCCTCATCTATTTCGAATATTGCATGATCTCATAAGCTCAATCTTACAATTTAAAAAAAAATGTCTACCCAGTGTAATTCACTGCAATACAAAAAAGGCAGATATAGATTATTCCTTCAAGGTTCTTACAGCCTGTTAGAGAAGGTAACTGATACCTCAATGCCTATAATTCAAGGTAGAAAGTGATAAATGTCTTAGCAAAGGCACAGATGAAGCCTTAAAGGAAATGAGTAGAGAAAAATGACCCTGCTATCTGCCTATTTTAGGGGTCCCTAACCTTTATTACATCTGCAAAGTCTTTTTAGCCGCTCAAGGTAACATATTCACAGGTCCCAAAGATTATGGTGTGATCATGATGGAGGAACCTAGTCTAGGGTAGACTCTTAAGAAATACTAATGAGTGTGTTAAGCTTTCTCATTGAATTTGAATCTTGATATGTTTGGACTCAGAAAGGGAGTAAAACTAGCAATCGAGTCAGATAAAGAAATGCAAACCATAACAAAGAGACCAGCCTAGCTAGACCAGGGGACAGGGGGACATACTATCTTTTAGTTAGGCCCAATGTTAGGGGTACATCTTCAAGATGCACATGTGGGTCATTCTATCAGGTAAACCACCTAGAAGAGCGGAAGTGAGAGGATTTCAGATTGGCATATAATTAGCTTTTGGTATAGCCTCAAAATCATTGCAGCCATGGAGCCTGCCGCTTACCTCACTGACCTTCCTTTTATGAGTTACCCCAGGAAATGAGCCCATCCAGCACCCTGGAGCTGGTCCCATAATAAGTGAACATATTTGATGATTCAAGTGGACCCTGAGGACACAGGGGACTACAGGGCATGCTGCAATGAGCCTTCCAGGGCCTTGTCATGATCAAAGCACTCTTGCTATCTCTACTGCACCACGCAGCTCTCAATGGGGTCCTTTTCCAAGAATTGCCCTCTGTGGAAGAAAGTAGTGTCTCCCTGAGTTATGCCCCCTTCTCACATCCAATATTCCACAAGAGAGTACAAAGGCCCAGCCTCCTTGTCTTGATGGATTACTCTAAAGGGTAATGCCAGCAGAAGAGTTCACTGGGGATGGCACAAGGTGTTGTCTACTGTGAATAATAGGTTGGTGCAAAAGTAATTGCTGTTTTTGCCAACCTGATATATCACTGCTCAGATCTCTGCTTCCCTACCTTCCTTACAGGTGCTGTTTCTGAGAATGCACCTCAGTAGTCCTCTAGAAAATGTCCATTTCAGAGTCTATTTCCTGGGAAAT